CAGTTATGCCGCGTTTTTGTAATTTTGAGTACGATATAAAAACGTTCTCGAAAGTAAAGCAGATAACAAGATCCCAATGATAGTCTCTCAAGCTTACTCTCAAGCTTAACGCGAGAACGTAAAGAGTTAATAATTTATTTTCCCCGCCATATTTAGAGCCCTCTTGTAATATATCTCGCGATTTGTACAATAAAAAATAATTTTAAATAAATAAATGTAAATAGGAATATTTTTACGTACGTTTTTGCATAAATGAATTTTCTCTTGCGATTCCGTAATGTGTATATTATACTTCGCAGAGAATCGTATTTCTTAAGTCATTGTACGTAATTTCATATTTTTGATAATGTTAATTTAATTGTAATTTTTAGATTTAAATATTAAATTTGCAATCGTATAGATAAATAATAGATAGAAAGAAAAGTAAAAATAATACTATCGCTTGAAAATTTGTAGCATTGTATAGTTTTTAAATAATTTAATCTTTTTGCAAATATAAATTATGTTATCAAGAATATCGATATACATTTATAAATTAGATAATTATTTAGATAACGTTAAAATTAAAAAACAATAGAAAAATTACAATATATATTAATATTATTTATAATATATAAATATTACTTGAACAGAAGATATTGTACATATTTTAACAAATTAATTGTAAATTTTTTTTTGTTAAAATTGTAAAGTAATTATTGAATAATTATAAATAATAACTACACATCTGACTTTATTTAAAACTTATGTGGTGCTCCAAACTTTCGAGCGGTAATGTTATCTTGTTTTTCTGTTCGCAATAATTTTTCTCTCTGAAAGCCAAATTGTCGTCAGGATTATATTTTGTCAATTTAGCATGACGAAATTTAATTAAATTTTATCAGACATATTTCTCACTATTGCACAATTTGGGAGTAATCACCCACAATTTAATGCGTAAGAGTGAATATGTTGTTATATATGATTAATAGAAATGATAATTTATTTTAAGCAATGTAAAACGACATATATATGAATATATAACAACAATTTAGTTTTATAAAATTCCAATCTCTTATATACATTTGAAAACAACTTTAAAGATAAATTTTAGAATTTTGTATCTCCAAGAGTGTAGCAACAATAACTTTTAATAAAATGTCAGACAGCACATATTTAATGTAAATAACTAGAAATTTGTATGGAATATAGCGGATATTGTGGTGATAATCATTTATTTGTCGTTTTGATATCATATTTCTTTTATGCTTTTTACTCAAAAAGGCATCTCTTAACTTAGAGTAGATTACATATGCGACTAACTCAATGTACGTGTGCTATATAAACGAAAGCTCCTATATATGTTGCAAGAACTACATTGTAAAATTGCGCGTTTTCAATGTACAATGTATTTTCAATGCGATATTTATCAAATTTTGTGATCTACAATTGTACATCAGTTTCCACTTTGTACACTTAGCTACAGTATTTTTAGACTTAAATAATCGCTGCTCAATGTAAAAGGATTGGTTTATTATAATAACAATCAGGTAGTGTTGAATATATAACATAAATGTACAGACATATATTATACATATATATATATATATATTTTTTCACAATAAATGTTTTCAATGGAGGTTGCAATCTTTATAGCATTTTATTGGTATCAAACTCATTTATTTATAATGTAAAAATTAGGATAGGATATATTTTAGCATTTCCAATTATGGGTCTTTTTTTACTAATATTATTTACAGTCCAAAATGTAAGTATTAATTATCTTTACTTTATTTTTCAACTCTGATAAGATAAAGCATTGCATGTGATCAGTGAAGTTTCAATGATTACATTAGCGCTAATAAATTGACTGAAATAAGCCATTCTCATCGAAGCAGCATAAAAATAAAATATTAAGTGTTGAACAGGTAGAAAAAGTAATGTGTGAACATGAATAACGATATAACTGCACGATACACACGGTCTTGACACTGCACAGGAGACAGACAGAGATTAAAGAAAGAAACACGGCGACTTCTATTTATAGCTACGTAATTTTATTGGCCACATTAATACGACACACGCGCGTAATCCATGCACGGCTAGCAAGCGATCTTCATTAACGTGCACATATTTGCTTACTTCTTAGGGTCAGTCGACGAGCGATTAGGTTGGATATTACACTGCGTGTTATGAGGATAATTAATTTCATGAATGAATGCAAATACAAGGCTCTGACCAGTATGTGACATATTTAGCGCAAAATGTGGCTATCCAGGTTATGCTTGTCTAATGAAGAATAACTTTCAAACATAGCCTGTACCAACAAAACACGAAACGGTGTAAAAATATCCGAGATCTAAAAATAGGTAGTGTATCTTTTTCATAAACAATCTTCGAGAGATATTTGTGGAATATGCAAATTACTCTTATGTAAAAACATTTCATATAATAAGATAAAAAAATGTGGCCAGACACGAATTGTAAACGAGTTGTATAATGAGGTTATATTATGTGAGATAATTTAGATTGATTCTTAACGATTTTGCCGAAAACAAGTAAAATTTTATACTTTTTAGAAGAAACGTATTTTAGAAACAAACTTCTGAATTTCTAATTTAAAAAGCATCTTTTACATGTATTCTATTATGTTTGGATGCTCAACATTTTGTGCAAATTCAATTTTCATTGTGTATACAAAAAAATAAGAGAACAATATTATTTTGATAGAAAAAATTATTTTCAACAATAATTATCTCTTAAATGTTCGGTTACTATGATATTTTTCTTATTTGATCTTTTATACGAGATGAAATAAATCAGCGATTGTGTGTAATAAGATTAAGTGGATTATATTTGAATGAATATTTTTATCATATTGCGTTGGACGTAAATATTAATCGCACTTTATTCTTCTTTCTAGCATAAGCACCGTATCACGCAAAAGTTTCTCGTTACGGTATATAAATAACAGCCCCTAGGACTAATAAACTATTCAACCACGCAAGGCAATGTAATAATCGAGCTCGTTAACCGGGAGATTTTGGTGAGAATCTTGTTACGCAAGCTTATTGTATAGATTTGACAAAAGATCAGATCTAAGTTTACATGAACGCTTGATTTTCTCTCCGAGAAATGTGTCGATTCGAAAGAATTGTTAGAAATTTAATTTTAGAAAGTTATCGATTTCGTCACAATACGCGCATATATCTGCTCAAATCTAACATCGTGATGCGACATATGTATGAATGTGTATTTGCGTTTCATCGAAGATAGCTATTTGCACGCAATCCAGCCACAGTTTTACGCAATAAAATAATGCGAGTAGGCTTGCCAGTCACTTTACTAGAATTGACCATGTTCTCGGTCTTTATGCATCTCTACAATCACCAATCCGTTAGAAAGACACGATATCACGTTCAAGATCCTTCGAGCCGATTTCTACCAATCAAATGACGCTTGTCATAATTAACGGAACTGACTATCACTGTATTTCAGCTAGTAAACGACCTAGAGAAAAAAAACGGAGAATCGTGTTCGACCATTTGTGAAAGTTAATCGGCCTTTCCAATGTCAAACGAGCTGAGAACACGGGCCAACGCGTTCGCCACAATTTAGCGCCGAGGAGGAGGACGAGCCCGTCGAGGTCGACGCAGCAGCGCAGCCACGGTGCAATCAATGAGCGCATATTGATCTCAACCTTTCGCGTAGTCTACACCTGCAGAGGCGGATCGCTACGCGCGCGAGCGGAGAGAGAGGCGACCATCTCGCGTATCACGCTAGAATCTTGCCGCACGCTCTCTGCGCGCGAGACAATTCCGATTCCAAGTAGAAGTCAGGTAGTGGAGTAGCATTTCGCCTGTGCATGTCCGAAACAAGAAGCTTTTTGTAATATCGAAATACGAATGACAAATGTTAGTTTTCCTACGCGTATTCGTTCTTACGCTTGCAGATATATAAATACACTTTCACGCGTGTTTTTATTTACGCAATAAAATAGATTGCATTTTTAACTCAATGTTGTTCAAAAATTGAGGAATGAATTTTTTTAATTTAGCATTTAAATACAACATACTCATGTTGGTTGACCTTTATATATAAAAAGATGTGGAATCATTATATATTTGCATAAAATTGACATATAAGCATGACATTATAAAATATTATGAAACGAGAAGAATTTATGACATGGAAACAACTCATTACACAATGTTTATAATTATTAATGTTAGACGAAGCATATAATTAGACTGAATGAGGGACTGAACAGGCAATCAATCTAATATAATAAATGTATAGCTTTATTACGAATGAACATTTATACAAAACTCGATCATTAGTTTCTGGTTTAAATCTTTTTATTTATATCAATAATGATTTGCGCGTACAAAAACGGATTTTCTAGGTTAAAAACCACTGATGCAACATCTGACGCAACTGTGCTTGACTATTGAAAATACAGTTAGAGTGATCGCTTACGAATTCCATTGATGTGAATCAAGATTTTCTAAGGACTACAAATCATAGAACATAAAATCTCTTTATATATGTTTACGTTTACAATCATGGAATGCATGGAATGTAAAAATCGCAGGTACTCAAATATATTACTATTTTAATTGGACAAAGTGTCCAAACATTCTGACCACAATATTAATTATAATTTGTTCACAAATTTAAAATCTATTTTTATGCAAATAATTGCAAAAATAGTTGCTAATTTCTCCAGTAATCAATTTAATGATAAAGTCTTATACATATTTATTAAAATAAAAATTTTTCTGATATTTTGGTATGATTTTAGATGATTCTATCGTTCGGAAAATTACGAATAATTTCTGAATAACAATAACGACGTATTCAAACAAACAGAGATGTGGCGCGCTTCCGCACTACTTCGTCGCGATGATAACAGATGTCGGCGCGGCGGATCGCGCCTGCCGTCCGATTGGTCGCTTCGAAAGTAGTGCCAGACATGTGTCTCGTTTCCCGCCTCCGGTACGGCTTGTGTTGTTGTGTGTGGGGGGACACCGCCACACAGTTCGGCGAGGTGCAGCGTAGAGACACGTAGGAGACGCGGCGCGTAAGGGCTTTTTAGACCAGAATCGAACCGCGGGTGTCGGATCGGCTTCTCACCGCCGCGCTTTTTCGGCACGCGAGAAACGGCGTAAGCACGCACGCACGCACGCCAAGCGGGCCGCGTAACGCACGGCAGAAACGGCGGCGGCGGCATACCTGTCCGCGCACTGTCCGGTGACCGACCGTGGTGGCTCGGCTGTGTCCGTCCGTCATATTATATTCCCGGCCCGAGAGAGAGAGCAAGGTTGCTGGCAACGTACTACGGTGGTGTTGCGACGCAACGAGGCGGCGGGGACGTGATCGACGGTGTGCGCGTTACGGAGCGAAGCAAGAACGAGCGATTGGGACCGACTGCCGGCCATGGAGAAGCGGATAGAACTCGAGAAGCGGGGAAGGAAACCCGGCGACGTAAGTCAGCCCTCTTAAATTTATCTTTATTGCGCTTTATTTCTCCACGCTGCTACTTGCAATCTTTATCTCTGTACCTTGCCTTGTCCTATCTTTCTCTCTTTCTCTCTCTCTCTTCTCCTTTGCATGCGTCTTTCTGTAATGTGCGGTCTCATCGAAATTTCTCTCAGAGTCCCACGCGCTTTATTACGCTTCTTTATTATGCGCGACAGAACCAGCATGCATTTGTGGCGGTCGCGTGCCAGCGTACTCGTGTATGTTGCGTAGCATCGTGTCGTTAGAGAAGCCGCGAGTTCCCGAATTCCCTCACGTTGAACAGTCGACGGCGTAACGCCGCGGCCCGCGGAAAGAGCCTAGGGAGAGAACGAGAGAGGGTAGAGACGGAATCGCCGCGCCGTATTGCCTCGCGTTTCGGCGGCGGCGACAACATCACGCACTAGCTTAATGCGACACGCCGCTCTGGTCGCACTTCCGTCTCTCTCTCTCTCTCTCTCTTTCTCTCCCTTTCTCTCCGCCGCGCGTTCGACCGCCGCCGACATTCTCGTCTTGACGGCGATCGCGTGGCTGCCTGTCCGTTGTCGAGATCTCGTCGTGCGGCCGTCTCCGACCGGCTGACGGCATATGCACGCACTGACGATGCATGGCCGCGCGAGAGGCAGCGGGCATGGCGCGCCGAGAAACTTTATCGTTCTCTCTTTTTCGCGCTCTCGTCCGCTCTCGCCCGCTCTCTATCGCGCCGCAACCGAATAAGAAACCGCGGCTCTCCTCGGGCCTCCACCTGCATCTTTTCGGAGCGCGTCGTTTTTTTCCTCGTTATTTCCTTCCTGCCCGCTTGCATACATGTTCGCCTCTACTACGCTCCATTTCGCCTTGTTAATCTCACGAGAGGCGGCGTGTCGACGCGGCCGACTTGCCTTCTCTCTCGCTCTCTCGGAAGCGGTTCTCGTGTTGGTGATCGACGTCGTGTCGCCTCGCCTCTCGCGCGAGCGAGAAATTCGGACGCAACGCGGGCGAGAGATCGAGGACGCCGCGCGATCACTTCGCCGAAACGCCGCTGGTGCACGGTACGCGTGGTAGCTACGTGCGCCAACCGTTGCCCCGCTTGCCCCTCGATCTCGCTCGTTCGCTCGCTCGCTTACCCGCTTGCCCCGCTGCCTGTCTCCTCTTATCGCATGGAGATACGTTTCGTTAACGTTCACGCGCGCAAGGCGACTTCGAGAAATGACCGTTTTTCTGGCAGCATGGAAAGCGGAGACACGCACGTCCGATCGGGCGCGTCGTCGTTCGAGTTTATATCGCGTTCTATGATTAATGGTGGATCTCACCAGTGGTCGATCTCACGTTGTCGGTCCACTTCCGTTGATGATGGACTGAACTGACTCTCTGCCCCTTTCCGAAGCAGATAATATGAATGGAGACATTTATTTTATTGCAATTTTATTTTTATATTGCAGCACTCAGTTGGACTTAATTTTTCATAATGATAAATTATATCTTGCATCGTGCAAATTATATAAATAATTTGAATTGAAATATTATCGTTTCGGTATGTACTTTGTAAATGCGAACGCCAGTAAGTTAACACTCAAATCTGAAAATTTATTTGTCCAATTTGTCGCTTAAAATGGGTGTATTTAAGATAGATTTCTATACGCGTATCTTAATTTGAAAAGATAATTTATTATGTTTTTTTTTCACAAAGTATTGAATGTAAAAATGTCGATGAAACCTGCGTAATCGTTTAATTATTTACTCGAATGAATAGCAATTTTGAGAATTTAGAGAAACTTAAGAATATGAGTCATTTCACGCTATTGTATACATTAAGAAAAGTTGTTGCCAGCTTAATTTTATCACTTATTTGTTTAGATCAGCCTAATCAATTATTTATAAGTGATTAAATTTTCATAACATTTCGTTGAAATACGTGAAGTAGAAAACAATGACACAGAATAATATTTCTAGAATAAATTGATATTAAATCAGTTGTCTGCATTTAGTATTTGTGTAACAAATTTGTAACAAAATATAACAGTGAGTTGGAATGCCGACACAATACCGTAAATGCGATTAGGGTCAATCAGTGAAACACTTCAATGGTGGATTTTCCGTTGGTAGCTTTGCAGATGAAATGCATCGCATTTTCCATTAATGGTCACGACGTATCCGTTAATTAAATGCGACTGCAGAGACGAAATATTAAAATCGTTTCATCCTTGCAATTTAACACTGTTGAATATATACACTTTTAATGCAGCGATTTTTTTTTTTAGATAAGTATTGATGACAACGGAGATAAATTTCAGAGTATTTGTAATAATAGAGCCAATCGATTTGCTAGAAAAAAATCGTATAATCAAAAATGATCTAGCTGTTCTGTATATTTCGCAAGTAAACTAGGTCGACCCTCAAAACTTCGTTGGAATGAATCGGATTTGAATGGAAACCGTTACTTCCGTCTACGAGATGTCTCTTTATGTCGATTATATTGCAGTTGTTCCATGAAAATCCTTGTAAACTTCGCAATAAACACAAATATGTATTTAAGCTGGCTTACTCAAATATGTGAATTTTGGAAATTTCTATAGGAGTAAATAATAACTTGCTAAATAATCGCTTAATTGAATATTCTCAATGCAAATTTTTTTCAGTATTTTCCAGAGCTCTTGTTCGATATTTTTCTTCATTTCCTGCACATATCAGATTTCTGTTTTACTAATGGCACAACTGATAATTTACAGCATTTTTCTTTTCGATACGCGTTGTTTCGGGTAACAATAAAGCACGTGGTGCACATCATTATTGTGGGATTTGCTCATTAACAATCTTTATTCTTGGGAAACTTCGATGTTATTGTGATCATTGATAGGCATAAAAAAAGTTTTGACAAGATAAAAAAAAGTTCTATCCCAGTGTGAAATGTACAAACAACCTCTAAAAACCCTAACAATGGTTTGACCCATCACATTTTGTAATGGTTTGTACTTTCAATCGTACCGAAAATATCGACATAAAGATCGCGCCAACCTTTTTAATGACCTGTTGTTCAACATTTGTCTATTGACACTTTGTCATCGGTCGTTTACTAAAGTGCACAGGGCATTTATTGGCGTAGTGATTATCGCGACAAGTAACGCAATTACATAATTTGTGAAGAAAGTTTCCAATTTTGAAGTCTAAATCTATCAAACAGTGCTTTTTCCACCAGTGAACAATTTTAAACAATTCTAAAGAACTTTATTGCTAGATAATTTCGTTTTAAAGTGTCTATAGAGCGTTAATAGAAACCGTTACGCAATATGCGCAGTATATGATTTACGCACCTAGGAACTAACGCGACATATGTTTATCTAATTAACTTATTTTTTTTTAGCAAAAAGACGCCGCCACCGATCGTCATTAACGAGAATGCGCGACAGATCGGGCGAAGAAGCGAGTTGCGCGCGCGTCGGCAACCGCGTTATGTAAATGAACGAGAGCGCGCGCGTCGCCATGAGAGAAGCAAGCACGCGGCAGCTGGATGTCGCCATTACACCGCGGCGTGCGCCGGGACGCTTCCACCGCGTCCCGGAAGACGCGTCCACTGCCAGCCGGAAACTACCGATGCCGCGACGCCGGCACGTCGAACGTGCGCCTCTCGTTTTGCGAGGCACGCAAGTACAGGACTTATCGTCGTCGTACGTGATCGCGCTTCGTGACGCCGTCGCTAATCACCGCATCGCCATCTTGGACGAGTCCATTTCACCGGCTGATTCCGGTCGGCCCGCCGAGTAACACGCGCACGCACGTAGCTTGGCGCGCGCGGGGCCGCGAACGGATTTTTTTCCGAGGCGGCGAACATCGCATCGTCGAGCCGAACCGAGCTGCCTGCCCAGCCGATGTCGGCCGGCATCGCCCGACTTTCTCAGGTGCATCACTACGTCGGCCTGATGCGTGCGTGGGCGTTCGCAGAGCCGTAGCTAGGGTGTGGCGTTAGAATGTGGGCCTTTTGTGCTTAGATAAATTTCAAAACAAATTTTTCATCTCCACAATTCTTTTAAAGATTATTCTATTCATGAAAAATTTTGCAATACGCTTTGGTGGACTGCACAGAAAATTTTGCACATTATTTTTGTCAAGGCGAAGAGAAAAGATTTTGCTTCAATATTTTTACGGTTATTTATGTATTACTGCTTTATTTTTAGAGGATTTTGTGAGGAAAGCTCTCAAAATTTATGTGCTTGTTACTATCACGAGCATCTCTTGTATGTTACGGCTCTGAAACTTTTCCCACTGCGCATTGACCACCCGCGTTGCGGTGCATCTTGGACACGATAGTGCCGTTCAAGAGCACATATGGTTACAATATTTTTCCAAATTGGAAACCCAAGTTTCAAGTTCTTTCTTACGATCGCATTGTACGTTTTGTTTAAATTCAGAATCACCGAGCTTAAAAATCAACGTAGCATATTTTGCATAGAAGTTTAGGCATAGATAAAGATATCAATCTTTGGAGACAACATAATAAAATTGCATAAAAATAAGTACGAAGCGTTATTAAAGATAAAGTATTTAAAAATATTTCAACAGTGAAATATGTATATATATATATATATATATTTCTTGATTTCTTTGATCCGCGACTGTCATTGATCCGCTTCTATAACTCGTCATGACGTTATGATTAGTGCACTAGGTATAGTCAATCTACCGATTGGTTGTAAAGACACGAGAGTATATCAAAACGGAATGTAGAAGACATTTATTTAGCGGAAGGGTTAATGCAAAAGAGAACAAAGTTATATATAGCTGCAAAATGATATTGAGATAATCAAGGAATTCGTACATGAAACACGCTGCACGTTCGTATTTAAATATTGTGTGGGTTTGATGACGCAAGAACTCACGCATTAAGAATGCATCTTTTGCGTCATTTATTCCCTCGTGTGTGATAATGAAATTGCATATAATAGATTATCATCAACGAATACGAAACGTGCTGGAAATATTTATAGATAAATTTGTATTCAAAAAACAAACATTTTTAGACTTCGAAGCGTAGTGAATATGTCATTAATCGTCTCATAATCGTATCATCGGTGATGATAAATATTTAGCGAGATAAAAATTGCCACATTTTTGGAATTACTTAACTATAATTATTTATTACAGCCGCGATTAAAATATTACAATATTGTGTTTCAGAAGTTATAAGAAAAAATTTATTTCTAATTCCTAATTTATATTGAATCAACGTGAATCGATTCAGTTTACAAATGATTTATCAATATCGTACTTAACCGTATCGAGACATCATTAGAAAAGTAACAATGCTAAAAATGCTGAGATATCGAAGTAGGAGTGTCGACACTATATCAAGTTTAATTAGAAAAGAAAAAATGGAATACCAGTGACAAAGTGTTGACGTCACCTCGAGTAGGAGAACCAGCGATGCAATGACATAATATCGAAGCATCAATACTTCCGGCATCGAGGTATCGATGATAGCCACCCCTACCCCTCGTGCTTGGCGTCGCGTGCCGCAGTCCCTGCTTGTCGCTCGCCGGCTTTTCCGACGCCGCTAAACAAGACGCGGCATGCACTCCGCTTACCGTCACGCCTGTGCCCTTCCTCATCTTCCCCGCCACCCGTTCGCGCGGACCCCGTCACCCCCGCACCGCCACTGTCTCCTTTCCGGCCCCGCTGTCGCCCTCTCGCCTTTCTCTTTCTCCGATCAATAAAATAGCCCATCTCCCGCGAAAGCTTATCGTTCGTTTGAATTTTAGCGGAGAACGCCGGCTGACTTTTTCGACTGCCACACGCGCGCCCCGTTGTTCCGATCATCTGTCTTTCTTTTTCTGGAGCGAAATCGCGCAAAATACGCACGGTTCGGAGGCGTCCGACGTTTCGAGTACGATTTCCAATCGATTGGCATTAGGTTTCAAACGCAAACATTCATAGATGTTAAAATATCAATGCCCTAAAATAACCCATTATTTTTAGCTTGGCTCTTCACGGTTACTGCGACGGAGAGAGGATAGAGATTCTATTTTTATTATCACAATTTAATGTTAATTGAAAAATTGCATGATAATCTTCTACGTAAACTTATGCCATTCTAAGCTACATTGCTTGGAATCTGCTTCTGACATTTAAATCAAAACTGCTTGTTAATGTAAATGATTATCTTAGATAATTATATGTGTGACTCACATGTGTTTTTTCGTTTGTCTTACAGATCAAAGAACTTGTTCTTGATAACTGCCGGAGTACGCAAATTGTGGGTCTGACAAATGAATTCAGCGCCCTAGAGTCATTAAGTCTCATCAATGTGGGTCTTACCAGTCTAAAAGGCTTCCCAACATTGTCCAGTCTTAAAAAGGTATGTATATTGTACGCTTATTGCAAAGTATTCAAGATATTGATTTGTTACTTGAATTAAAAATGTTTATGTATTTTAATGTATGAGAATCAGTTGATAACGAAAGATGTATGGATATTAAGAAATGCGATTTGACAAAACGTTGACAATAATTATTACCAACAACTATTGTCTGTTTATCCAACGAACAAGTTTTCCTTTCACGTGCTGAAATTACAAATTATCCTTGTGTTGTGCAGCTGGAGTTGAGCGATAATCGAATTTCGAGTGGTTTAAATCTGCTCGACTCAAGCCCTAAATTAACTCATCTGAATCTAAGCGGGAACAAGATCAAGGATCTTGACACACTACAGCCGCTGGTAAGTTCTCACGTTTGTTACACGTGTTGAAAGCATTCTGTTTATCGCCAAGTTGCTTACGTAAGATCCTTTCGTATTCCAGAAAGAATTCAAGAATCTGAAGAGCTTGGATCTCTTCAACAATGAAGTGACAAATATGGATAATTATAGGGAGAAAGTCTTCAATCTTATTCCCAGTCTGCGATATCTTGATGGGTATGTAATTATATGCCAAGTTCGCTTTGTTATTTCGTTTGTCTTTTTTTTTTTTAAACCGGCTAATTATTCTGTCCATGAATTTAGATATGATGCTGACGATTGTGAGGTCGATGAAGTCGAGGAAAGCGAAGGGGAGGATGACGATGTTAATGGAAATGAGGACGGGGATGGAGAGGGCAATGATGATGATAGCGAAGAAGGTTGGTTGCAGAAATTTAATTGTATAATAATTTTTAAAAAATTTGGTTAAGCAAAAATGTGTATTAGGAATAAAAATAGATGCAATAATAATGAATATGCATATTAAATTGTAGTTTCAGATGAAGATGAGGATGATTTCTTAGATGATGATCCAGGATTAGATGCTGTCTACAAGGATAAGATCGGAGTGAGTTTATTTTGTTTTGCATTAAATAATTAATCAGTTTAAATTGCAAGCGTTTAGCGTGATACAAAAGGATGCTTAAAGCTCAGTAGAATGTTCATTGAGGTCTTTCGGTCATTGGATATTCATTATCTATAGCGTAATTACGAAAATATGTAGGTTATACGTTGTAATACAATAACCTAGTTATTTAATAAAATTAAAAATCAATATCGATGTAGGAGAGCGACGATGAGGATTACATGGGCGAGGAGGAAGAGGAGGATGATGATGAAGATAATGAGGATGAAGAGCAAGACGAAGAAGAAGGTATAATTCTTAAAAATATCTTTTTTATTTATAATTTTAAAACTCAGAATAACTAAAAATGACAAGTACGGAGCGTCGTATATATCCGGATGTCGGAATTATTTCGATAAGATATATAATTTTTGTTTGCTTATGTTTATATCTTGCTATTATTTTCCTTTATTAGGTTTTTTTTATTTATTTATTTTTTTTTTAAATGAATCAATTTCTATTTCTTTGTACAACGATACCGATTACGCTTTGTGCAGAAGAGTCTCCCGTTCGAGGAAAAAGAAGAAAAATTGATGACGGAGGGCCAGATGGAGGCGAGAATCAGATCGCTTAAGACGGAATGCAGGTCTCTGATACTGTTGAATGAGTGTAAAATTCATATAAATAATAACAATAATTGCGACGCCGAGTGAACAGCTGGGAATCAAATTAAAATGACCGACCAATGACAGACTACAGTTAGTGATGTGAATTTATCAGTAAATCATTGACTGCATGGAAAATTGTCTATGTAACAACAAAAGATTTACCCTAAGGTAAAAGGCGGGGGTATTGGGAGATGCGAAGAGAAAAGGCGGCGAGGTAGGGGGGCGGGGGAGAAAACGGATAATGATGGCATAAAAAAAAAATAGGGCTGCATTCCAGCTGGACACAGCACAGTTTTAGTTATACTAACGATATTTTATATAGAGTATATAAATTAGAGTATTAGTGGTGTTGTGTAGAATGGACGCGGGAAGATCGGCTATTAAATAATGCGAGGTAAGAAAGCGTAAGGGGGGAAAGGGGGTGGGAAGGGGGGGGCGAGAGTGAGAGTGAGAAAGGGAGAGGAAGATTGTGCGTATATGTGTGTTTGCGCGCGAAAGAGACAGAAATAGAACAGGAGGTAGTGGAGTTTTACACGTGAAGGAGCATCTTGTCTGTTAGCTCCAGTCGGCCAAAGGCTGGTCACGCTGGAATGCGGTCATCGTTAATCAGTACTAAGGTTACATAAGTTACATTTTAAATACATTATTATTGTACCGTGAATAAGTATAGAGTAAATGAGGAACAACTTTTGTACAGGTTTACACCAAACATCGAGGTGCATTATATGCCTCTGTGATTTTTGGGACAGAAAATAAAGAAAGAGAAATAATAATACGTTACGCTCGTATACGCGAGCGTCTGTATCCGACAAGGATGAGATAGGAATTGGGGGCGAGAGAGAGAGAGAGAGCGAGCACAGTAAAACAAAAAACGGGACTTTCGCTATAAACGATAGCGAATACGCGCATACTTTTTCGCGATCAAGATCTCCATACTACGGTAATCTTACGATCCGGCAACGTAACAGCAAAAAACGATCGGTTCAGCGGATAGAAAATAATATAATATTCACTGTTGTTTTCAATCACGCGTGATTCCGACGGCAGCGGGAAAAGTTGAACAGTTTATATCCAAAATACAAAATTCTCCAATACACCTCGATCGACGTGTCGACCGTTACGCGTGAACGCGGACATGGTGTTATCCTAACTTGGACTTTTTTCTAGTAAGCTTTAAGTTCCAGATGTTCTATGTACACAACGGCAATTACGTATGGCTGTTAGGATTATTGTTATTTACCCTCGGGCATTGCGTAAATGTTGTGCTCTAATATAACAAAAGAATCAATTTGATTATTACTACAATTTATGATGATCTACTTTTGATGGTAATTGTACAGTTATATAATTCAATTCTTTTTTTTTTCCTTTTTTATATGTATATAGGGCATCACAGAGCTATCGTATTTTCTTTCACACTTATGTATAATAGGAAACTACTTAACAAAAATCGAAAGAGAAACAATAAATGTCAAAAAAATATCTTTGTTTTCTTCATTTAAATTTCTTTACTGCAAGTTTAATTTTTAATTATCAAAATGTACGATATTGAGGTTTGAAAATTTGCCATAAATTTGTAATGAATTATTTTTGCAAGAAGAAGAAAAGGGGTGACTCGTTATAAATGATTTGTAACTGGAAGGAGATACGATAATTCTAGGTATCCTGTGTATGCCAAAGCATTCTGTTGATTGATGATGGGATTCTTGTATAACATTATGTAACTGCAGCAGGTCTCAGTCTTTGGAACGAATTACTACGGAAACAAAAGTCAACATCGTGTGCGTCTAGCGATCAACCTTTAATTTCTGTCTCTGAAGTTACCATTGCGCTGATACATTTCGTGATGAATAATGAAGTGCGAAGATGATAAGTAATGGAGATTCATCAATATTATGATTAAGGATAAATTTACGAGTATGATTTTAAGAAATAAAATATTTACACTTGCGCTTTCGCACTTTTGAATTGTACTAAAGTCAGAAACGCAAAATTAGACTTAGAATGAGAACAAAAGGAAATGCGAAAAGAGAGAGAGAGAGAAAGAGAGAGAGAGAGAGACACTTAACGAAACAGGCGCAAGATAAAAAGGACTCGCAGGATGGATCAGACGATGTAGTTAATGGTGAGACTGTGACGAGTAGAGACTGGACCGGGATAACCAATTAACTACGTAATCGTGTGAGAATGGATGGAAGTGTGATGGCGAATGAGAGTTGGTAAGAGAAGATTGATTTTATAAGAAAAAAGAAGAATAAAAAAAATAATAATTACGGTAGAGTCGAGGACCTGGCGCCTCCTTGTCGCCAGTTTGGTTATGGCCTTATCCAATTTTTCCAAGACTAAAAAAGCAAATTTATATTAGGTACAATGAGTATATGAACGTGTACAGGTCCAAATCTGTAAATTTCTGATCTACGGCAATTTGTAATTGCGGCTCGCGCGGAAGCGTATTAAGAGTTAAATTATAAATAATTAAGAATTTAAATTATAAATAATTAAAGACACATTTCGCGCGCCCCGCGACATACACACATGTAATACACTTTTGTCAATTGCGATTTTGGATAGACCATTTAAGTAAGGGGAAAAAAAAAAGAGAGAAAAGGAAATTTGTCTATCACCCTCTATTATCACATATATTACATCTGTGTATTGTCTGTCTGTTCCGTTGTTAAAGTGGATTTTTATCATAACGTTTGTTTATTTCGAGCAATCCTCATCACACAAAATAAGAAAAGATAATTTATTAATAAAACCATTTACAAATCAATGATAGTGTGTCCGATATGTGCTGATGACTAAACCTAATTTTTTACTTTTTTTTTCATTATTATTTTTAACATAAAATGTCTTGAGAAAATAGGTTTATGCACAATGCTGTAAAAGAGATCTTTCAGATCTTTTCTTTTATTATTCTCACAAGACATTTCTAAATTTAGAATTATCTTTTGATTATTTTAATGAACAAAAGCTCGTCGATCTTTTTAATTAATCATTAAGATTAGCCTAATCAATTGGATATACGTAAATAAAATTATATATACGAACAACTAGTAGTATTATTCTAAAGATTTTATACAATTTATTTCATAATTATTTTATTTCTAATTTCTACAGTTAATTTTATTTAACAGCTAGGCAGCTGCAGTCTACGTGGCCCGTCCAGTTGAAATATTTCGATTCTGCGCGCGCAACTCTTTCGGCAAACTAGACAGTTTTTTTACAACACGTCCGTTTGGAACGCAAAGCACAAACACTCCGCGATTAATCCGCATATTTTATTCGTCTTAAAAGTGCATAACAGTGTGAATTTTTATCGAGTACAGATTAAAATGACGGGCGATCGCTGGAGTGTATTATAGCGAGTATTCGCGATTAGCGGCATTTCGTTGAAAGCTCCATCGTGGATTAAAACAGGTTACACTCTCAATGAATACAGATTCTGATACGACAAACATGAAATTAATGGCTATATTTGTTTAAAACTATTAAAGCGCAATGTTGTTTTCAGATGCAGGATGTTAAACCACTCAACTCATCGGAATTAAGTCAAAATTAGTCGGATAAAATAATTGTTACGTGTTTATTTATACGTAACGATCTGCGCGTGATCGCCAAGATAGTCGTCGATTGTTTGGTTGCTAATAATGCATATATATACAGTATTGAACCAGCTGCCAAACGTGTAAGGTAACAGTAATCCGTTACATTTATGTGTGCGAGAGTAAAAAGCGTTTTATTTTGCATATACATTTCGTATAATTTGTAACAAATTTGCGGATGTTTTTTGTCCACGATTTTAGCATCCTTTCGAAAATGAAATGCATAAATTGAGTCCCGGTAGTGTGTGCAACCATCAATAAATGTGAATTTCCTTAATTCATCGATTTTTCGATAATGCGGGGCAATTTGACGATGAAATCTACAGCCGAAGTAAACTGCAGTAGCCGAGCTGGTGAGTGCTGTTATTTGTTTGTTATATAATTATGTAGATGCATAATTTTGCACATAACTTGCACAGTTATAATTACACAGTTATATTTAAGATTTATTGACTTTAAATTTGACGATGTATTCTACAAAATGCGTATAGATTTCTCATGTAGATTCGTTATTTCTTATTTACTTTAGTCTTTGGAATCGTTTTGTGAAGTTGAGAAAAATATTCATTAACTTCACGAAATGATCTCTTTTGAATTTCTTTTTGTTACCATGTGAAGGCACGACTATTTATCCACTTGTTTGCGTTTTCGCAGCACAAGATGGCGTTGTGCGCGCCATCGCAGCTGCGCACAGGGTCACGTTGGTTTACGCGCTGTCGCGCTCTCAGTGTGTCTCCGCGCTTCCTTACGTGTGTGTCGTTCCGTGCAAATCGGCGTGCCGCTGCCTCCCCCCTGCGCAAAGCTGTGAGCCGTCCGCCGCGTCGCAAGTTGAGAGAGTTTTAAGTGCTACGCGTGTTTTTCGGGACTCTGGCACTCCGCAACCGACGCTCCGGAATCATCATGGCAGAGAGCAAGGGCGCGTTAATCGCGAAGACAGTGCAAAAACACGCGGGCAGAGCGAAAGAAAAGGTAAGTGTGCTCCATCTCTCTTTCTCTCTCGCACTCTTCTAACAGGTTCTTTTCGTTCGCTGTCCTCGAGCGCTCGCGAATGTCGCGAACGACTCCGATGCGTTCTCGCGAAGCGGAAACACGAAGATTTGCGAACGGCTAACGTTGACCATAACCTCCACGTCGCGTCGCGGTGCTCGGCAACGTCACGGTTGACATTTCGCGTCGCCGCAGCACGATAATTACATCTCGTCTCGGTAATTAAATCTTGCAACGTTCAAATTTTGCTTGAATTAGACGTACAATCATTACCTAGAAAGCAAAACAACACTGACTGCGACCTTGACCAATAAAAAACTTGTTTTGTAACGAAATTGAAAAAAAAGTAAGCGCCAGTGTACGGGGAAGATCGCGTTTCAATTGTTTCACATGAAAATGATCTTCCGCGAAGTTTTCTCAATGTCGTATTCGTCAATCAAAATTATGTTGTATAGAATCATGTGTTACGCGATATTAATAAATGATTTACTGTGAAAATACGCACTCTTGAAAAACAGCGAACGGAAAGACGGCGCGAGTAATCGATGAGATGATTTATTCCGCGTAACTTGTCGAACGAGTCGATCGGTAGAAAAAAATTGACGATGCTGCCTAATGCGTTTATTCTAGAATGTTTAGTAAAAAAGCGAAGCGACATTCTGTCTTTAAAATATTGTAGTCACGCTTTTCGCCAGCGTTGGCGCTTCATCGCCGCGCTAAACTGCGATCTTACATAATCAGTAAACATATTCGCAGTAATTCGTTCTCGCGAAGCGGTATCGTTCGAAACGACAATTATGCAACGCCCACTGAGTTTGCTCCAACACAGAAAATTGCGCGTGCATAGGTGTATCTGACTGCACGTCACTAACTTTGTTATCGACGACGATCGCGTGCTCCGCACACGCCTCGTTGCACATGATCTACGATTTTTGTCATATAAAAACTGCCTTAAAGATTCGTAGCGATTACAAAATGCTCTAGTATCATCCTGGAATTTTTCATCTTTTTGTTAGCGAAAACATCGCTGGCAAAAATGAAGTCATTACATTTGGCAAACTTGATTAATATCTCGATTGACACATAAGTTTCGGTAAAGTATTAAGTGAGAAACATTTTCTAATTTTATTGACATTTTAATCTACAATGCGAATATCGATATTTGATGCATTTTAAAGAAACCGTTATTGCGGTTTTCGACAAATTAATCCAAATTTAAATCATCTTTTCTGAGGAAATGATAATCGATATCTTAGAAAGGAAACTAATTATTATTTCATAATTTAGAGGCAAAACGATGAATATCCTGCATTTGACAGTTTCCTTCGATTTTCACGTCACAGAGTGACATCGGTTGTTCTCGATCCGAAGCGGAACTGATATGACAGCTATATTAGATAGATAGGACGCTATATTATACCGAGTCTGAGACGAATGATCGCTGCGATTAAATATAAATGCGCGCACATTTACGGCGAAACGAAGCCTTCTAACGTTCTCACGAATCGCTCAGGACGAAACACTGTTTACATGTTTCACTTTTGATGATTCATTTCGCGGCAACTGAAGAATCTCTCTCTCTTCCCGTGTCATTCAACGTGAACGATCATATTTGTGGAAACGTCGTTCACGCGAGCCACTTCGGACAATTCATCCGCGATGATTGTCCAAAGTAGAGGAAAGCCGGAGAATTTCTCTACTTTTCCCCTCGGACAATATGAGCGATTATTTCCGCAAAGATGCTTACGCCACGCACCTTTTTTCTTTATTTTGGACAAATCATTCACAAAACCCACGCTAACTTTTCTTCTACATTGATTAATATATTTTCGTCTAAAAAAGTTTGTATTAAACTATTCACTTATGTGCCACACATGTGTATTTGTTTTTTTATATTTTTCTACATTATGTAAAATTTTTATTGCTTCATCGATAACTGTTTTGTGATGTTCTGCGGCCCTGATCATTATTTGTTTGCAAATGCAATAATTATATTTAGATTGCGTATCGAAAGATTGCGTATGTACTAAAGTGCGCATTAATACGGATTCAATCCCCGCGGATTTGCGATTAATAGCTTGGGAACCGCTGATACAAACTGTACCACGGAAATTTGCTTAGGGAGGGGCGCGGAGGGTTCTATAGAGAGAGGGACTTCTCAAGGTGCATTATAGATTGCATTCGTGATGTAGCACGTCGACGCATCGCCACTTCCGCACTTCGGCATCCAGAGCGTGTACCTGCGCCTTCGCCGAGGACCTCTCGTTGATGCATCGCATAAGCATTGCATAAGCGACTCTTCGTGTCACGCAATTCGCAATGTGCATTCGCTCGGAGTTCTCGGTACGAATAACAATGTTCGCGATTTTTCTCTCGCGTCTTTAAAATCATGGATTTCCCGGTTGTTGTACCACGACGGATGAAAATATAGCGTAACTTGAATAACAATAGATGATGTTAATACAACTTCACTTTGAAAAAAAATGAGAAAGCGTATGAAATTGAGAAAGCGTGCTTATTTTCGACAGGAAAATGAAATGTGACTGCGGAGAACAAATTTGCAAAGCAATTATTTATGGATTTCTTTATCTAATTTTTGACAAAATTTTGTTTACAAATGATTACTAATTTGTTTGGTATTCTGACTCAGTTTGAGGACAGGGAAAGAGAGCTACCTTTTGACTTAATAGTATAAAACCGGTCTTATATCTACAAATCGAGAATGTGATTTGAATCGAGACTCGATTTGAATAATTTAATCGAGACGCAAATAGGCTCAACCAGAGAATTCGGATTTTTTTTTCAACGAAATGCAATATCTCACAAAAACATGATTTAAAAATTCTGAAAAAAACGTTACGATACTATTAGTGAAGTAAATTTGTTATTTTCGCTTCTCCAGTCTATCATTAGCTCGAAAAATATATTAGCGGTGTAAAAATTTTGCAGATAATAAGAAAAGTTTAATCGTGTTGCCGTGGAAGTTCTTTGAGTCTTATTTGCTCGAGAACGACTAGAAGCAATAACCGATATCGTTCGAACAAGACAGAAACGGGAAAGCGCGTTTGCACAGTATTTATAGCGTGAGCGAAGAAAATAACATATAGACATCGTTCTTTGACTTTTTAGCGGACGTATTAAACGATTAAAGATAATTACATTACACGTAGTGAAAGTTCGAGATTATTATAACATGTTCTTCATTTAAGACATTCTAATAATGCTGATATATATTTCATTTGTTTCTGACATTCTAAATTTAAGTGGATAATCTTGATGAATTATTTCTTGACCGAATAATTTTTCATTATCCACATAAATAATAGATTAAACAATCTTGTGTCTCGCTAAAATATTTATACGAGGCAAATAGTAATTATTTGTCTGCTTTACAATTTATTGCGTACTATATCTTTACATGTATTCATTATACGTGCGCATAAATATTTTTGATCGCTTAAAAGCTACTCATCTGTGTAACTTTCTCGCGGGACATATATAACCCGTTAGTCGCGGAGAAGCAAAGTTGAAAACACTCGGGGATTACGTTGCACACCGCCAGAAGGAGCGAAAGGATCAAGTGCGACTAAGTTTTTTTATTCTTTTTTTTTTCCTTCGTGAAACTATTATCCGCACATTGCAAAGTAGGAAGAGGTAATATGATAGATAGGATCGTGTGTATCGGGCACACTTGCACTCGTGTGCAAAAGGTTCAACTGATACTCGAGGCGAAGAAAGTTAGTGTGGGCCGGTGACCATAAAGGAGCCCTCACACGACCGTAATTACTGTCAGCAACTCCTATATCAGATACTGTCACTAATTGCGATGTTGATGGACTCACAATTACGAGAATGATTAATGTCCGGAATGAACAATATTTATGAACAAAACAAAATAACAGCGATATCGAGAGGTTCCGGATTTCTTCCATGCTTTTCACGCTTTCCACTGTTATTTCAAGTCGCATTCAGCGGTAAGTGTGGTTTTTTGTTTTACTCAGATCTTTGATCGTCCAACGTAAAGATCGCTGACATAGGTCATGACGCAAAAACCACATTCAGCATTAAATGCGCGGCGAGAGAACAGACTTGGGTTTTCCAGAGCGCACCGCAAGTGTCCGAATTGCGGTATCGCAGAATTGACATTCGCTTTTGCGCGCCACGCAACGTCGAAACGACGTTAACGTCGGACGTTTCACCTCGCTTTTTAAATAGTAAAATTTTTCGAGGCTCGTTTGCGTCTCGTAATCTAATTTCTTCGACGCGTTAGAAACTAAAACGTGTCTTGTCAGATCGATCACCTCTCTCTCTCTCTCTCTCTCATACCGAGCGACTTCCGGATGTCTATTTCCGCCTGCGTTCTCCAACGACCAGGGCGCTTTTATTCCCGGTGAATTTCTTTTCGTTTCGCGGCGCGGAAGTCTCCTAATCGCTCGCCGTCGTCTCGCAGTCGTTCTCCTAGACGCTAGATTTCTAAGTGTGTCCCACCTCGCGCGACCGGGAGACGGCTACTATTCTCGTCCCCAGGACACGTCCCCGGACGCCCCGCGACGCCCCGTCGTCGGCAAATATATCTACGAGCCCGCGGCTTTCGGAGAGCCGTCGCTTTTGACTTCCACGGCGTTTCACGTTTCCGTCGCGTTACAGAATATTTCTCAAACATAGGATTTGTTTAATATTTATCTTTGTAAAATCAAAACTTTTAGATACTTATTTGCTTTTAGTGGTTTTTGGAGCGGTTTATTTTGACGAATATGTTCAGCCATAATTTTCAAACATGCCGTACGAATTTTTGCCAAATGAATGTGTAAATTGCGATAGCTAGTATTTGTCCTGTTATTGTTTCTAAAGCTTTTTACTTCAGCTTGTTAGCTTTGATTTTCTATACATATAATTATTTAAAATATTCGATGTATATAATTATTTCCTCTCTTTACTTCCTTTTCATATAAAGATACAATCTTTGCTTAGACAGCCGTGCC